CCTCCCACAGGGCCAGCGAGCCCCCAAGGGCCAGCCAGGCTCACAGACTGCAGCCGAGGAAGGAGCGGAAGCTCCTGGGTTACCTCATGCTCTCCACGTTTGGGTTGCCCTCCCCGCGGAAGAACTGGTTGTTCCGATCTGTCCGGACCACGTCTTTGTCCACGGTGAACTGCACGTTGCGCCAGAAGGCTTGGTGCTCCTCGGGGGTCATGGAGAGCCTGCGTGGGCAGAGCGCCGGTCACCATCAGCGCATAGGGCAGGCGGCCCACACTACCGGAGGGGCCTCCCTGGCCCGGCACTGGATGGCACCTGGGTTGCTCCCCGCCAGCGGGGTAGGAAGTGTAGCCTCAGCCTCAGGGGCCCCCACATCCTGCCCAGTGGGCACTGGGGCTGTGCCCCGTCTCTGCAGCCCTCACTCCAACTCCTTGGTCTGCAGGCCCTGCTCCCAGCCAGCGTTTAGGGATGTCACAGGCTGGCCGTGTCTGCTGAAGGAGGGCGCTACAACCCCCATGTGTGAGCCAGCCAGCCCCGCGTCTCCGGCCAGCCCCGCCGTCCCCGGCCCAAGCGCCTAGCACAAAACCACACTCGTCCCGCCCTATCACCTACATTCCCAGGAGACCCATTTTCAAAAGAAGCTACAGGTCACGACTCGACTGGCGCCGTCGGTGCTGAACGGTGCCTCCGACGGCCTCTGCAATGCCCTGCGGTCCAGGCCGCGTACCTTCTCTGCTGGATGGCCGCGTACTCCTTCCGCTTCTGAACCCGCAGCGCCTCCCGCTGCTCCGACGTGGACTCATGGCTGTAGTAGCGCAGCAGGAAGGGCCAGACCTCCCCCCGGATCGACACATCAATGCCGCCAAAGAAAATGGCCTGGGGGGAGCGGTGGAAGTTGGGGAGGGAGAAGGCAGGGCAGCTCAAAGGACCCCTAAGAACACCCCAGAGATGCGTGTTCTGGTGGCTTTGGTGCCAGGACTCAGACCTCCGCAATTTGCACATGTTTACAGGGGAAAGCGGAGGTCCTCCATTCCCATGCACGACCAAACCGGGCTCATTTCAATGTCAATGCCCCCCCGGGGCGGCGCTGCGATTAACGTGTCGTTCTCACGTCATGGCCTAATCCCTGGTTTGGGAACCGCTGCATTTCAGTGTGAAGGCTTCTGTGCAGGCCTACGGGTATCCCCCAAACCCACTCAGATGGCTCTCTCAGGGCAGGGGCTGACTGCTTTATCCGTGTTCACACAGAACCTCGGCCAGGAAAGGGGACCCTCCTGAGGGGGCGGCCCCGGGGGCGGTGGGTGCCGTGCCTTCCGCAGCTTGTGCTCCTCCCCGACCTGGCCCAGCTCGTTCAGGTGGCCGAGCCAGGCCGACGCGTCCAGCCGCCGGTACAGGCGCTCCTCGGGGTGGGTCTCGGAGGACGGCAATTTGGGACGGCGGATGGAGAACTGCATGCAGGTCCTCTCAGGGGCCACCTGCGACAGGAGGGAAGGTGGGAAGGGGCAGACACACCCGCCCTGAGGCCGCCATGCTGTTCTGCTCTCAGGACTGAAAGCCGCCCTCCTGAAAGGAGAGCCTCCCCTGCATACAAACCCCTAAATGGCCAGTGTAATTAGACGCAATTAAAATGAAAATACCTTCATCTTGGAACGGCTTCCGCCCACTCTGACCGCACCCCCGCTCTCTCCCCGACCCCAGCCGCAGAAACGGAATTAATGCCTCATTCGGCCTAACTGCCCTGTGCCGGGACGGACTGCAATAAATTACATGTGATTGGCCACGCACAAAGGGAGCGCTGTTCTGCGCGCGGGGAGCCAGCCTGTCAGATTGTCTCCGCAAGCAGTCACGGGTCCAGGGCAAAACTGCAGCTGACATCTAATTCAGAAATCAAAGGTGCTCAACGGAGGGGAGAAAAAAGCCGTGCTACTGTAATAAGGGACGCCAGCGGGGGCTCTGTGGGAGGAAGGACTCCTAAAGTCAGCCCCTTCCTAATAAGCACACACAGTATCTTACACAGGTAATTACAGACTTCGTATCACATTTGTATGTAGATTGAGCAAAATATGGCAGGAAGCCCTGTCAAAACAGGGTTTTTCAAGTGTGGAGCGCTGACTTCACAGGGAGCCCGGCACAGGTTTCAAACCGGAGTGGCTGCACCACCACCCGCGGCTCCCACCGACAGCGAGAGGTGCCGGGCCACGCCGCGGACACAGACGCCACACACGCAGCTGGGAGTAAAGTGTGCTGGGAAGGACCGGGCCCCTGGGGCGGCCTGGGGTCTCGGCTGGACGGCGCGGGGCTACCTGGTCTTTGAGGGGTGTCCCGGCACAGTACTTCCACTGCTGAAACACGTCCACCAGCTTGTCCAGGCCACCGTGGTGGAAGTGGAAGACCTTGTACTGGCTCTCCCGGCTGGCGACCACCAGCTGGCCGCTGGTGCAGGCCTCGTCACTGAAGACCATCGGACCGCAGAAGAGAAAGTCACGGGCATGTCAGCACGGACGCGTGTGCAAGTGTGACCAGAGGCCACAGCTCAGACCTCAGAGGCAGCAAGCAGGTGGTCCTGAGCAGTTTGGCTGCCGCTGGGGTGGGGGTGGGCAGAATTATGCCCACGTGAAGCCTGTGGCCTCTTTGGCTGAAAAAGGCAACATAGCTCTCCCCTGGGGAGTCCTGCAGGGCTCTCGAGAGGCTGCCAGAGAGGCCGCCCACCCACCGAGAACCCGCTGTCCAGGAGAGCAGGTGCTGGGTGCCGCTGGTGCTAGCCGGAGTCTGGCTTTGCATCCTAGCGAGGCAGAGAACCTCCTCGAAGCAGATGTGCCCCAGCAGGCCTAGGGGACGCCCCGGGAGAGGCCTCCGGGAGGTGCACCCAGCACCTGCAATACCATCGTCCTAGCTTGGTTGCCCTCAGGTGAAGGTGGGATGTGGCCCTGGGTCTGGGGACCCACCTATGTGACACCTGTTCCTGAGCCCAGGTGCCCTCTTGCACCGGGGCCATCTGAGTGTAAGGAGGAGCTACAGGCTGGGAACCAGGAAGCACCCACCCACCTGGAAGCAAGGGGCCTCTACACAGAAGGCCACGGCCAGTTCTGGACACCAGCAGCAGGGCCGTGGGGCACCTCGGGATTGAGACCAGGATGCAGACCACACCGCAGCTCTGCTCTCTGCGCAGCCAGGCTCCTTCTAAGCCAGAGTTCGAGCAACAGCTGGCTCCGACCGCCCCGAGGGCGGAGAAATGAATGACAGCTGCTCCAGCCATCGTGTTGGGCGGCCCACCCGGCCTCAGGCCACCACTACAGGTGAGATCCGCAGTGGAGGGAAGCCAAGATTTGGAAATCCAGCCTCGGCTGAGCCAGCCAGGCCCTGCACTGCACACACGGCCGACTTCAGGCTGGGAGTGGCTCCTACCTGAAGAAAAGGCGCAGGGAGCGCATATGGCCCAGGTCCACGCGGAACACACCGCAGATCTGCTCCAGGGCGCAGGCGCGCTGTGGCTCATCCCAGCGCGGTGCGGGCATGGGGCTGCTGCTGTCCGGGAACCGCAGGTTGGCGTCCGAGCCGGAGGGGGAGCTGTAGGACCAGTCACATGTCGGCCACAGCGGTCTCCGCCCGTGCGGCCACAGGGAGGACAGGGAAGGGTGGGGAAACCGGGGCAGCACATGCACTCACAGACATGACTAGCACCTAGGAGGCAGCGAGGGACCCACTGCCGGTCACGGACAGCGAAGCGTGGCCACGACCCAGCTCCCGTCCACGGCAGAGAGGGGAGGCAGGCGAGGTCACCGTGGCCCGAATCTTGGCGATGTGACTCTGGGCAAGTGACCCTGCCTCTCTGAGCCTTGCTCCCTCATTGTAAAGGGAGACAGGTAAGGAGGCTTCGAGTGGAGCAGACAACTGTGGCGGGCTTCGTCCTGGGCTTGACAGCGGCCGTGCGGGGCTCATCGCAGACAGGAAGGGCTGCCACTGGGTTCAAGCTGGTTCGCCATGGCTCGGGGAGGACACGCGGGCGTTTACACCCTGGGTGTGCCTGGGCCTGGGTTAGCAGCTTCCCATGCACTTCTACTGCGTAAGCGCCTCCACTGTCCTGTGTAACGAGTGGAGTATTACCCCGCCGAGGAGACTGAGGCCCGGCGAGGCGAAGTGACCCCCACAGTCGCACGGCTAGCAAGCGGCAGGCCTGAGCGGACCCCCAAGCTCTCGGCTCACGCTGGCTCCAGCAGCTTGTCAGCAAGTCTACCGCTTGGCAGCACAGGCCGGCCCAGACCTGGCATGTCAGTGTGTGGACCCACTCAGCCCCAGCCATGTCAGCGCGCGGACCCACTCAGCCCCAGCCAGCCATGTCAGCGCGCGGACCCGCTCAGCCCGGGCCATGTCAGCGCGCGGACCCGCTCAGACCAAGGCCATGTTAACACGCGGACCCACTCAGACCTGTGTCATGTGAACACACGGAGCCGCTCAGACCAGGGCCATGTGAACGCGTGGACCCGCTCAGCCCCGGCCATGTCAGCACGCGGACCCGCTCAGACCTGGGTTATGTGAACGCGAGGACCTGCTCAGCCCTGGGTCATGTCAACACGCAGCCCTGGCCATGTCAACACACGGACCCGCTCAGACCTGGGTCATGTGAACACGCGGCGCCATTCAGACCAGGGTCATGTGAACACGCGGACCTGCTCAGTCCCGGCCATGTCAGCACGCAGACCTGCTCAGACCTGGGTCATGTGAACACGCGGCGCCATTCAGACCAGGGTCATGTGAACACGCGGACCTGCTCAGTCCCGGCCATGTCAGCACGCAGACCTGCTCAGACCTGGGTCATGTGAACACGCGGCGCCATTCAGACCAGGGTCATGTGAACACGCGGACCTGCTCAGTCCCGGCCATGTCAGCACGCAGACCTGCTCAGACCTGGGTCATGTGAACACGCGGCGCCATTCAGACCAGGGTCATGTGAACACGCGGACCTGCTCAGTCCCGGCCATGTCAGCACGCAGACCTGCTCAGACCTGGGTCATGTGAACACGCGGCGCCATTCAGACCAGGGTCATGTGAACACGCGGACCTGCTCAGTCCCGGCCATGTCAGCACGCAGACCTGCTCAGACCTGGGTCATGTGAACACGCGGACTCACTACACTGATCACAGTATGTGTTACATGGATTCAGCCACACCACAGGTCAAACCCGCTCCGATTTAACGCCAAAACGTCACGGCAGCGCCCCGCAGAGCCACGCTGCGGCGCTCTCGTCCGCTTTCCTGAGGGAGCCCAGCCCACGCACGCGTCAGAGGCACCTCTTGGTCAAGCAGGCACTGGGCCTCTAAATACGCTTTGGATGGTGCACATAGGATCGCTGCTGGCTCGGAGCTTCCCCGGGGAGACAGGCTCGCCTTCCCAGAACCCTTTGCTGCTCGCGAACAACGCTGGCCTTTCTCCCTACCTGTCTCAAGAGGTGGCAGAGCCTGGTCCTGCCCTCCCGGGGCATCGGGAGCTCCAAGGAAACAGCGTAAAGCCAGGCAGGATCCGGCAGGTAGGCAGATAACACGAACCCCCTGGCCACAGGCCACAGAGCAAGCAAAGCCCCCAGAAGGCGGAGGGATCGCCACATCTTCCCAAGTGGACCCTGGCCAGGCTGCACTATGAAGTCATTGTTCCCCAAACAAGCTGGCCCCCCACCGGCCACTTTACCAGCCCTTGGTAATCTGCTTATGAACAAAGAGGCCAGACAGCTGTGCTCAGCGGGCTTCCAGCCCGGCCCAGGCCCCTCCTAACCCAGAGGCCTGAAAGGGCGGCCACCTATTCCCAGGCCCCCAGGGCCCCTCGGCCTCTGCTGACCGCAGGGACACACGACCACACAGAACACACCAGCACGATCCTCCTGATCCTGCAAACAAACCAGAGAGGGGCCCCCAGGGCTCCCCCCAGCAACTTGCCTGCGGGCAGTAGTCACTTAAACCCTCTCACGACTCCTCAGGGGCAAAGTATCTGCATTAATTAATTGATTCATTAATTCAAAACACTGTGCTTGGGACCACAGCTGGGGTTCCTTCCACAAGTTTAAACTGAGGCTGAGTTGGTGAAGCCTTGGCTCCTCTGGCTTGGGGCCTGTCCCTGCAGACCCCACCTGTAGCTCCTGTGGGGGATGGGAGTGGGGGGTCCTGCCGCACAGCCCCAGCCCCCACCCCCGCCCCCTGGCACTGGCTCTGGCAGAGACAGTTAATACCCATACCTGGGATGAAAACAGAATGTCTCGGAATTTTGAAGTCACAGAAAAATTCAAAAGGAAATAGAACCACAGAAACATTGGAAAACATAGTTAAAACAATTGTTTAAATTGCCAGAGGTGCACGCGTTCACCAGAGAGCTAGAGAGGAGGCAAAAGCACCTCCGAGGGGCACGGCCACGCTGCGATTCCTTCTGCATTCCGTGGGGACAGGGCTGTGCACGGTGTGCACGCGGCGTGCGTGTTTCAGGGACTCGATCCGCAGTTGGCCATGTGGGATCTGGCTCCTTTAACAACCAGGTTAGAAGGCTAGCCCTCAAATTATTTTTGTCTGTTTGTTGTCGTTCTTTAATTTGCTATAGGGTGCATTGCACTTGCTGGAGACAGGAGAGCGAGCAGGGCTTGCGACAGAGAGAAAGCGCCCCCGGGCAAGAAGCCAGCAACCCCGCAGCAGGCCCAGGCAGGGTCAGATACAGACACATACAGGCTAGAAACGGCCTCCGACTCGCCGCAGGTCATCCCATCAAGAGGGGCATCTGTCTGTCCTTGAAGACAGACCCTGAGCTGAGCTTGCATGACCAGCAGAACGTGGCCAAGGCCGCGGCCTGGAGAAGGCCAGCAGCTCCCGCACTCTGTGTCTTGCTACAGCTTGGCAGGGGTTGAGAGGCCTGAGGACAGAGATGCTCAGCTGCCAGTCAGCAGCCCAGCCCCACACGAGAACAGAGGCCATTTCAGACGCTCCATCCGCTGTGTGCAGGCACCTGACCAAACTGGAGACCTGCAAGCCAAGAAAAGGGGTTCATTTTAAGCCGCTAAGTTTGCAGGCTGTTTGTTCCTCAGCGAAAGATACCTGGTACTTGCAGCGGTGTCTCTCCAGAGAAAGCAGGGGCAGGGGAGAAGCCCCCAAGCCGCGTTGAGTTGTGGTTCTCAAGGTCAAAGAAACGCTGGGTCCAGACTTTAGCCTTACTTAAAATAGCCGCATCTCTAAATTTACTCTTGCTTTTCTTCATCTTAAGCCTTTTGAGTCAGCTGAATGAAAAGTGGATGGAAGATGAGCGGATGGCGTGGAGGTTAGGGTGCTGACGCCCACGTGGCCGCCACCTTCCGAGTCCTGGACCTGGCTTGCTTTCTTACTTTCCCACTCTCTCTGATGAGCACATGTACCATATAGCAGATAAAATAATAGTAACAAATAAAAGTTTTATAAAGAAAAGGAAAGTGGCTAGAACCCCAGCTATCGGTAATTTGTGCCTAAGGAGCCCTGAGAGGGTTGAAGTGACCCTGCCTGCAGGGGCTGCTGGGGGAGCCCCTCTCCTGGTGAAAGCCGCTCCTCCTCTTTCAGAGGGCCTCTGGCTGCAGCAGGGGTGGGGCCTCCTCCCCTGACTCCACCCAGTCTCTTCTCTCTGGATCCTGCAACCCTGGCTGCCCCCTATGGTGGGTGGGTTTGGAGCATGGAGCTGGGTGGGTTCGGTGTGATGGGGGCGAGGTGGGCAGCAGGCCTCAGGGCAATGCCAAAACTTGGAAGCAATCAACATATCCTTGGGTACTTGAACGAGAACTAACCCTCCGTAAAGCCTGCTATGCCCAGACAATGGAACATTCCTCAGCGCACCACGGGAAGACATGGTAGAACCTTAAATGCACACCACTGTGAGAGAGAAGCCAGTCTTGGCGCTGCGGACGGCACCATCCACCTACGTGACGTTCTGGAAAAGGCAGAACTGGGGACCATGAAGAAGTCAGTGTTGCCGGGGGTTACGGGGAGCAAGGGCTGTATGACACCAGGGAATGTTCGACCCCAACGCCAGCTATGGGCTGTGGCTGATAATGACAAGGCAATGTGGGTTTGCCCACTGTAACAAACGTGCCACAGAAGGCTGGCTGCGGGGACAGGGTGTGTAGGCAGGGTTACCTGGAAGATACTGTACCTTCTGCTCACTTGTGTTGTGAACCGAAAACTGCTCTGAAAAATGAAGTCTATTTTAAAAAACTCAGCTAGGGGCAGTCAGTGGTGTGGTGGTTAATGTGGCTGGACCCCACGTGGCTCACCGCGCAGTTCAAGTCCCACACCTGGCAGTTTGAAACATACACTGGGCACATGCGTGCATGCCCAAAAGCCTGAGAAGAGAATGGAGAAGGGACTGCAGTGTGGCCATCCCCCCCCGGGGGGGGGGTGCTTCCTCCCATCCCTGGCTCCGGGAAGCACAAGTGCGCCATAGCAAATTTAAAGCTAAATCAACCAGAACCAACGAAAGGAATCAAGAAGCCAAACGGGGCACATCTCACACACACACACACACACACACACGATAAGAACTGGTATCATTAATATGTAAGAAATTGTAAAAA